GATCAATGCTGATACCATAGAAAGTCTGGAGGAGGAAGAGGAAGAGGAGGAGGAGGAAGCAAGAAGAAAAAGAAGGAACATAAATTACTTCTGCTTCGCTGAGGGATTTTTGCAGTCCTTGTAGGAGGGAGGCTCCATCCAAGCATTTTTACCTTACGGGCTTCTGGTTAATGTTGTGTGTTACAGGCTCAGCTGTGAGTTTCCACCTGGGGAGTCTGGTCCATGCTCTGCATCTTGCTGGTAGCTTCAAGCAGTGCTAAGAAGCCCAGCTGGCTAATGGACTGCTTGACCAGCAGACTTGCTTTGGGGCAACATTTCCATGTCACCAATGTTTCTCCTGGGAAATTATGCAAAGATAAACAGATCCCTGAGGCAGAAGCACAAGGCTGGAGTATAAAAAATAATCATTTGGGTTATTTTTGAGATGGAGCAATTAAGGGAAAGGAATTTCATTTTCTCGCACAATGGTGTCTGGACCCAAACAGCGTATATTTGATACAACTAGCTAGATACTCATTTTGCTTGCTTTGAAAAGCAAAATTAAGTCTTAATCTGAGCTAAATACCATTGCTTAGATTGCTTAAATAGATAACTTTGTGGGGACTATGATATTAAACTGGTTTGGGCCTGGTTATTAGTTGGATGGGGAAACTTGTAGGGATTTCCAGGATTGTAGGCTAGATGGAATAGTTAATAAACACCTTACAGTGGTGTTTTCCAATCTTGGAATCTTTAAGCTGTGTGGACTTCAAATTCCCAGAATTCCCCAGGCAACATTCCCTAGCTGGGGAATTTTGAAAATTGAAGTCCACACAGCTTAAAGTTGCCAAGGATGAAAACTATGGCCCTGGAGTAAGGCAAATGACAAATCACTTCCAAGTTTTGCTAAGAGAGATCAGTAAGCTTCCACATTAACAAAGCAGATGCTGAATTCAACTGGAAATAATTTTAACTTTATGTCAGGCCTTTTCAAGCATTCCCTTAACATCTTTTCAGTTCTTTCCGACTCTACAATGCTATGATTCCAGATCTCAAACTCTTATTCTGGAACAGGCTAATCAGCAGACGTCTCACAAACACGTTTGGCTAATATAGTTTCTTTACTGCAACAAGAATGAAGTCACAGGCATACAAAAGATCTGCCTAATACAGAAAACAAATCAAAGTCAAAATATATCTTTGCTCCAGAATTTAAATTCTAAGCATTTTTCTTCCAACTTTCTGAGTTGGATATTTATTTACTGATATTCAGTCTTTCTTTTCATGGCCTTAAGACTAGGAGCTCCTGCTGAGTTCTGGCATACAATTCTGTCTGTCTGGCTTGTGAATCACTGCTTCCCTTCTCATCAGCCTCATTTCTGGTAGATTAAAACAGGGGACCTCAATCTCCAGGCTGTGGAATGGTAGCAGGCCGTGGTCTGTTAGGAACTGGGCCATGCAAGCAAACAAAAAGCTTCATCTGCACATACTCAGGATCTAGGTAGTGCATGAAATGCCCTCCCTTGCAAGGAATCCCCCCTAGAACCGGTCCCCTGGTGCCCAAAAGGTTGGGGACTGCTGAAGTAAAAGATGCTGAAGAGGCAAGGAAGAGAAGTGGATTAATCAGAAACAAAATGAAAATAGCAAAATGGATGCAAGATTCACTGCCAATAGACTATTCTTAACATTGCAGTCCAAATGGACTTTGGATCTCTGCAGATCTTTTGCATTAAGTAAGATCCCCTCACTCTTATTACTGATTAAGTTGGCATGCATTTTAGAGCAAAAAAAAAAAAAGCCAGAGATCTCAACTGAATCAAAATATTTTGGGATATGTCTCAACATGCAGATTTTCAGCCCCTGCTAATAAAGATATTTGGTATAGGTGAAATATAATATGGAACTCACATTGTCTACAATCCAATGCTTCTGGCAACACCATTATTTCCATATAGATGAACGATCATCTTGACGATTACTTTTATACAGTACAGATACAATTTCATACTTTGTGAGGGCAGAGTTCAGGTGACAGAACCTGACACTCAGGCTATCCCATGTAATGGCACCATTTCTATACAGGTATATAACTATGCATAAGTATCCTTCAGAAAGTATAGAGATGATCAATCTCCTACAAATGAAAGGACACATGTCACAACTCTTTAATGGAAGTGAACTCTCTGCCATCTTCTGGATCTTTTTATCGCTGGTTTTCTGATAATCTGTGGCTAAAAGCAAAATTGGCTATGAAGTTCCTTCACGGAGCTTAAAGTCTAACAGATCTAATTAAGTTTATACCTATCTCAAGAAGTTTGTTCCATCTATGTTGTAGCCGATTAAGACATTAATTGTGGCGTAAGAGCTTAGATGGTTAAAAATGTGTTTAAGATGGTGTTCCCATCCTATGCCAAGCTTTCACCAGTGGCAGAATTGCCATTTTTTAAAGGCCGCATTGGGTAGGACTCAGGGGTGGGATTTTTTAACAACTGGTTCTGTGGGTGTGGCTTAGTTGGTGGGCATGGCTTGGTGGTCATGTGACTGGCTGGGCATGGCCAACTCAATATCACTCACATCGAGGCATACATCTCCTCGCCTGGCCTCTCATGACTGTGGGGAAGCTGCAACAGTCATAAGTGTGAAAAATGGTCATAAGTCACTTTTTTCAGTGCCATTGTAACTTTGAATGGTCACTCCACACAAGCAAAGTACCAGCAAAGGAGGAAAAAAAACTCCAGAGAAGTTCCTGAGACAGGAAGTCTAGTCCTGCCAAGAATGTAATAAGGGTTAACGGAGAGGCAGTTTCTGTAAGCAACACCAGAATGTTTCCTTCCTGTCTTCCTTACAGGCTTAGGCCAGTAATTTCTTCTGACAACCAGTGCTCCAAACTGCTTAGAATGTTAACAACCGGTTCTAGCGAATAGGTGCGAACTGGTAGAATCCCACCCGATAGGACTTCTGGAAATTGCTCTTCCAACACATCTTGAGGGCAATAGTTAGGAAAAGCTGTTTTAAGCCTACATAGATGTTTTTAAATGGGGGAATTGTCTCATGCTTGATACTTGAGCGAGGCCTATATCTATATTGCTACTTTAATGACATAAAGGGCAACTAGAGAAACAGAAGGTGTGGGATTCAAACATTTACCTTCAAACCTCTCAAAGTCTTCAAAATGGCCGGCCTGGTTCCATCCAGAGCTATCTTTGTATTTATAATTATCCTAGACTTTAATCTTGACTTCACTCTCTAAGCATGGCCCCCTCCCCCAGTTAAAATGGCATCATTTTATAGAGAAAAACTATAATATGTCTCTCTCCTATGCAAAACAAATAAAAAAACCCACCCCAGTAAAGATTGAGCACCTCAGAACAGAAAATTAAAGGTTTGAGAAAAGAAATGCCATATTCTGAAAAGGGCAAGACTGGCATATTGAACAGAAGGATGTACTGTATTGAGCTAGCAAAGAAATGTGTTTTCAAAGCAAACCCAGAAACATGTACATTAAAGGGAGGGGAGAGAAGAGAATGAGAATTCATATGAACTTGTAGAAAGGAGCCTATTTAAATTGATCAATACCACATCTGAGACCAATCTGAGGGATTATACTTCTAGAATGCTTGAGCTCCTCAAACATCTATTTAAGTGCCTAGAATTGTTAATATTGAAAACCATAAATACATTAGCTCCTCTTAAAATGAAAGTCCATCCTTTTTTAGAAATACAAAGAACTGAACTGTTCAAGTCACCCAACATGGAAACATCATGGGAAGATAAATGTGTTGTTATGTGGTGGGAAACAAATCTGGCACTATCTTTTCTGGCTAGCAAATTTAAATTTAAACTCCAACATCAGTCTATCTGCTTTATGTTTCTAACGAATTTTAATAAATACATCTTTTATTAAAATTTGTTAGAAAACTGCTACCAAATTCCTGTGCCACACAAACACATTTAGGGTAGAAATGGCAAAAACCTATTTGTTGTTTTCTGGAACTGGCTAAATATAACTAACTTCTATCTAGCAAGGCACTCTTTCTCCTTTTAAGGATTGCTAGTTTCTTTTTAAGTGGTTACAATTCAGAGCTACTTGTGAATGCAGTTGCTAAGCCAGGGCACATTTCTGAGAAAAGAGGAATCCCTGGATTGTCAGGCACTTCCTCAACTATGAGGGGGGAAAAACCCCAACTCCAGCAATTTCTCACGGCCAGAAGGGGGCCATGGGGGGGTGTTATTAAAACTATGCCAAAGGCAGAAAGGAGATTGGCAAGTCCTTTTTTCCCCCCTTTGTAATTTATATTGAAGAGAGAAAAACTCCAGGCTATTCCTAAAGCAGGAGTCGCTGAAATTAGCCCAAGCAAAAAAACCTTACTAGGTATGCATAGTTTTTCCACGACTCTATACGCCCAAAGCCTTATGATAAGGTTTATCAACCTAAGTTGCACGTCTTTGTATTCGTTCAGAGGGAGGAAGGTGGGCGACAATGAGGACTTCACAATTCAACCACTTTTAAGAGCACTCCCTGTTCACATTTTCGGGGAGCAACAGGTGGCTTCTCTTCAGCCGGTTACAGCAAATGGTGTCGGTGTCGGGGGAAGAGGCTAATAACGGATACATTTTAGGGGAATGTTTGGTGGTTGGCGTCTAACCGAGACAGAGCAAGTCAGTAGGCGAGGCTGGAATTAAAACCGATCAAATCCAGCCTCCCCTCCCGCTCTGACGCAGGAGGCACGTGCGACCCAAAATCCTAAAGGCAATTAAATTAAGAAAGGGGAGATCTATAGAGGACCGTCGAAGGAAGAAAAAAAGAATTAAAGCCAATTTAATTTCTCCGCCAATTATCCCCTCCCCGCCCAAAATCCCAGGACTTTTCATCACGGCTGGCTGGCTTACAGAATTTGCCTGAGACAACTCGAGCATGCATGTCCTCTCCCTCCTCGCGTGCCTCTACACGGATGGGCGCACATCCCCACGCCGCGTGGCCTAAGGCAACAGCGCCTTTGCTCGTGGCACGCCATCCTTACCTTGCTCTCCTCCTCCTCGTCTTCCTCCTCCTCCTCCTCTTGCTCTTCTAAAGCCACCGGAGCAGCAACGACCGCGTCCCACTCCGCTTGACCGGGCACCTTCCGCTCCACTTGAACGTGACTCCGCTCTTCTGCTTTCACCGGCTCCGGGGCAGCCTTGTCGTCGACCTCCTCCTCTTTTCCCTTCTCCCGAAGCCGTTCTTCCTTTCCTTCGTTCGTCCCCACCTCTTCAGCCCCAATTTCCTCCACGGCGTCCCTTCCAGCTTCTCTGCTTATTACCGCCTCCTCCTCCTCCTCCTCTCCTCTCTCCTTCCGAGGCTCCACTCCGGCCGCCTCCGGTTCCTTCTCATCCTTCTGGAGTGCTTCGCCGTCCGTCCGGTCTACCGCAGCAGCGCTCGCCTTGGCCTCCCCTTCTTCCTTTGCCGCTGCTGGCTCGGTAGCTTTGTCCTCTTCCGAGGATCTTAGCTTGACAAAGACCGACGCTAGAATAACAGCCAGGACCGTGAAAAGCAGCGGGACTGCAATGTACAAGTCCACCGCTACATCCATTTCTCCGGCGGCTGTGCGACCCGACAGCACTGAGGAGCTGAGATGGCGAGTCGTCGTCCCCTCGCGCTTTCTCTCTCCTCCTCTTTTTGCCGCCGCCGCCGCCGGGCAACTGAGCAGCTGGACTGAATTCAGCTGCCTGAAAGCGGCGGTCGGTTAAATCCCTTCTCTTCTGAAGCCGAAAGCGGGATAGGTTTTCACAACACCCGCGTCATTTGGCCGGAGCCCGCCCCCCTCTGCTTCTGGTGCCACTCCCGGCAAGTCGAGGCTGCCGGGATGGCCATTCCCTTTTATGAGTCTTAACACGGGGAAAGGGAAGGAGAGAGACCAAAGGAAGGAAGGAAAGGAGGGAGGGAGGGAGGGAGGGAAGGAAAGGCAGGACTGTTTTCAGAGGAGTAGCCCTCTTCATCGGATATTGGATCGTGTAAACTTCCCAGCAAAAAATTGAGAGTTGGATTGCGTTTGGTGCTAGACCATAAACCGTGGTTTATATATCACTCTGCAGCAAACCAAACCAAACTTTTTTTTTGGCTCAGGGTAATCCAGCCTCCCTGATCATTCTATTAGAAAGTAAACTCTCGTTTCTGTTTTTCTTCCTTTATATTTCAAATGTATAAGCCATCCAATTCATAGCAGCAATCAATACAACATAGATAATAATCCTAGAAATCAATATACCAATTAATACAATTCCCATAATAGACACATATCTTAAGTTAGCACCTCGGGCAAATATTTGGTCTTTAGGATGGCAGGATGGGGTGACCCAAACCTCAGTGTGAGGGGTGTCCTTTTCCAGAGGATAGACTCCATGACAGAGAAGGAATGACATCCAAGTCCCATCAGATGACCTTATTTTAAGAATAGGATTTATCAATAGTGCAGTTTGAGCAGCGTAGGCATTGAGATACATTCGTGTTTGTCCTGCTACAATCTGGATCAGCTCTAGCTCGAATAATTGTCAAAGGCAGCCACATATGGAATACATTTCAACTGTTGTTGATATGTGAGGTAATTGAAGCATGAGTGACTGTGGGAAGAATCATCCAATGTAGGAATGGCTCCAATTGGGCAGTTGGAACCTTTCTGCTCATAGTTGCCACCTGCTTATGGAGCTGCAACCTTGAAATTTCCCTCTTGCATGCTGTACCTGTCTGGGGGAGAACAAACTCATCCAGAGATGAAAGTGGAAAGCCCTTGGTGTTGGGAGAATCCAAAATACATAATCACCCAGTCTTGTCAGGGTTGTCCTTTAACTGTTCCTCCCCAGTCAGGCCCCACCCTCTTCAGATACTAAGAGAAGATTTTGAAGGCATTAATTGGTTAGCCTGTTATTCAATTGAGTATCATCAGCATGTTATTTGACCCCTGGCCATTGGATGAATTCACCCAGTAGCTTCATATAGATGTTCTCTCAACATCATCAAGCCTTTGAAATCTCATACAACAGGAAACTTCTTTCCCCAGCAATACCAGTTGGAACCAGCCATGAAGGGGAACCACTGTGCCTCCTAATTCTTGCTTTGGTCTAGACCAGGGCTGTCAAACTCCCAGCTGTGGGCCAGATGCATCACATGCTGACCATGCAGAGTTTAGCGAAGGGGGGGAGTCCCAATGCATCACGTGATGCTGCCATGATGATGTGAATTTGACAGCCCTGGTCTAGGCAGATAGCATGATTGATGATATTGAAGGCTGCTGAGAAGTCAAGGAGAACCAGAAAACTGATGATCAGTGCCATTTCTGTGCTGTGTCCTGGCCTGAAATCCAATCCAAAAGGATTCAAATAACCCACTTCACCTAAGGCCTTTTGAAGCTCAACCTCACATCCTAAAAAGGATGGACATTGGAGACTGGATGAGTATTATCCAGCACTGTTGGGTCTAGTGATGGTTTAAGAGGGTGTGAGCCACTTGTTTCCTGTTAAGGCAGGCACTCATGGATGCACTAAACACTGCATCCAGGATCTGGTGCAAAAGAGGAAGATATCAAGGTGACTGGGATTTGCTTTTGTTTAATACCAGTGGTGCAATTCAACTGGTGTAACAACCAGTTCGGTGAGTGTGCGTTTTGCACTTGGGCAGCGTTTGCAAAACGCTGCTTTTTCAGCTCTAAAAGAGCATCAATCTGCTGTGCTGCACCAAACAGCTAAGCTGAAAACCCCAGAAATAAAAGGACAGAATAGGGCAGGGGCAGGTGGGTGGGGCCAAATCATCACTGTAACTACTGGTTCACCTGAATCAGGCAGAACTGGTAGAATCCCACCCCTGCTTAGTACCTGTTTTCTACTTAAAATAATGTGGTGCTTTATGCTGCAGCTGCAGAGGCAGCTTATGGAACTTGCTGATTCACTAATATAATTGATGACAAGGGCTAAAATCATGAACTTTTAGAGAATTACTAGGCAGGTTGGAATGTTAGAAGTCTTTGCCACTGAGTGCTTGAAGCTATATAATGTATATTTTGTGAGATTATTTTGTATGATTGCTAGCCAAGGGGAAAGACCATCATCAGTAATATGGAGTGAGGTAAGCAAGCTATGTGGTAGCAGTGCAGCTACTGCATTTTATTAAGAGTCAAACACACCTGAACTACATTCTTAATCACAAGTTTGAAGGCACAAATTGTGTCTTCTAAGCTCAGCTGTTAAAGATGCTGAGCTTGTCAACTGCTGAAAGCTGGCAGCCCGAGTTTGAGACTTGAGCACTGTGCAAATGTGAGCTCACATTACTTGCCCCACCTTCTGCCAACCTAGCAGTTCAAAAGCATGCAAACGAGTAGCTATCACGTACCTATTTCCCTGTGCCTAAGGCACATATATAGGCACATGATCACATAAGCATCTTTGGACAATGCTGGCTTCCGCTGCTAAGAGGCTGAGAGGAGCATCGCCTTCCAGTCAGACACGACTGGACAGAGGAAACCTTTAGTTTTAAAACAAGGCTTAATTCTCAATAACCATAAGCACCAGCAATGATTTCACAAAGGTCACTTTTAAAATACTGGTTCTGGATTACATTTCATTTTCTGAAACTGAACTATATTTCATTTTCAGCTGATTTTAATTTAGCAAGGTCTCAGAAACTGCATTTATGTTGCTTGAAGTAGATGTTGGCAATTTTTCTCTTTGAAAAAACTTTTTTCTTGCATTATTGTGTTTTATTCAAACTAAAGCTTCCTGTAATCCAGATTTCTCCATTTCTGAATTTTAAGATGTTCTTTTTAGATACTGCATTTCCACCTCTTGTAACATACCACCGAACTCTTCAAAGTTTCTCTCTATTGCATCTTGAGTAGCTGATATTCACAGGATATTACTAACAGGTATTATCCTGTTGTTTACTAGATTATAGCTAAGCATGTACTGTATTTAGCAATGTCCATGCCTATTCTGAAGTAGTTGTTCACTTTCACATATGAAATTCAGCACATTTTGAACTTCTATATTAGTAATGAGAGGCTCCCTTCCTCATATTGCACCTTATCTAGTATTCCAGTTTCTTAAATTTTTTGATTACTTATCATATAAAATGAAATTTAAATCAAAATATGTTAAATAATAGAAGACTTTTATTTTTTTTAATCATCAAACAAATAAAATTCAGAGCATTGCTGGCTCCACGCTTAGGATGGATTTCAATACAAATCAGTTAGTTGGGCTTCATTTTTAGAAGTGCCAAAAAGATTTATGTCTTGGTAAAATATGAATTAAGATCTATGGAAAAGTGTAGGGTAAATTGACTCAATATAATGAACTAGTTGCTCAGAACATGTATTCTTTAAAAGAGAAAATAAAGTGGCATTAATGATCAACCAGAAATCAACTTAACATTACAAAAGCTACTGTTCAAAAGAAGACAAAAGCTCATCTTAGTGTTTAGTTGAAATACATTGTTTAGAAGACCTCCTTATAACTTGGTAAACTGGCTTTAAGTTTAATAGGAGAAAAATATAGGAGAAAAAGCACAAGTAAACCAAAGTAATCACTACATAAAGCTATAATTGTTAGTACTGGAGGTAAATTCTAATTTAAGTTTCTCTCATGTTCAAAAGTATGTCCAATTTTATAAATAAAATTTTATTCTTTTTTAAAAGAATGAATAACCAAGTTTATTTATTGGGAATCTGAAATATAAAATGTAACAAGAAGCAAATAGCTGTTATAAATAAACCATTATTATTAAAAATATTTAAAAACTTATGCCATTCCACTACTGTCTATGGCTACTGTTGCTAAGAATGCCATTATTAGTAACTTTTCGTGCAAACTGAACAAAAAAGCTTCAGGTTTATTTCTGTTTTGAAAAATCAGATTCCATCATATAGGAAACACCACAAATGGAGGCTTCTTTTCTATCAGTCAATGCTCAGTTCCTTCTTTCATATTAACTTCCTGATTAAAACCAAAATAGTCTATGACTGAATAGATTTATCTGGTTCCTTTTGTCACAAATATACCAGATTTCTAGTTAAAGGAAGTGTTCCTGCCTGCCTGTGTGCAAGGAACCTTCAAATTGAACATTTAATGAATCCAAGCCATAGTTCATTGTATCAAGGTCTAGTCAAACAAGATTTAATTGTATTCGGAAACATAATGGGCTGTTCCAGAATGTCCTGTCTAAAAAGTAAATTCCGTTTGCAGAGTGAAACAAGGTTTTTAAATGTGGTTCCTACTAACTAGAGGGAAAGTACGAGAGAGAAGGAAGCAATTTTTGAAAATTTTGTAAACTACTCCTTACTACGGTAGCATTTGAAATATCTCTTCATAGGGAACATTCAACTATAATTGGCACTCCTCCCACATCCTAACTCTGGACAGGAGTCAGTTAATAAATGGCCATGCATGAGCTGATTTCACATTCCACCATCCACTAAATATGGATTTTCTTAGGCATCTTCATTTTTATGTAGAATAGAATTAAATAATCTCCACTACATACCTTGAAATGTAAGAAAATTTCAATAATCACTTATTGCATTCTCAAGGGTGATCAGTGATCAGAATATTTTCATTATGCCATCTCTAAACTTTTCAATTTGGAATGGGATTATCTTCATAAATGGAGATATAAGCTCACCTCAGAACAGAATACCAGTCTGTTACCAACAAAAGTGCCATTGAAACAGCAGCACATCCTGAAATAATCCAGCTGTCATGACAGACATACAACCACATTATTCAGGACAGAATACACACACCTTAAATATCTACACCACCAGAATAGTAGATAACAGTATAAAGTTTGTAGGCTCCCAAAAAGCAGTTCCTCGTTAAATAGATATTTTATTTATATTTATTCAGATTCTACCCATTCCTTTTAGGAAAAAAAATCTATCTACCTTCATGTTTCCAGAAATTCCCACAGGGAGATAAATGAGGCAGCTAGTTTCTCCCATCTCCATTTGTTTTGGGCTTATATTTCCAAAGTGGCTGCAAGTATCTGCAGTTGTTTTTTTATTAAAATATAAAAAAACAAAGCAATGATGATGAACTGCTGGTTCAAACAATACTTTTGTAAGAGTCTCATTTAGTCCATGGTTGGCTTGATGTTACCGATATATTCAGAATTATAAAAGGTGCTTTTACATGTAATAATTTATACAATAGGAGAATCATCTTGGTTCACTTGTGCTATAATGAAGGAGCTGCTGGCCAATTGCAGACTAACGGTTGTATGCCTGACCCCCAGTTGTTAATGCACTAGAATTCATCTTGTAAACATATGACAATATTGGAGCAGGGTTTGTTTTAAAAGACAGTTTTGTTAATAGAAATTTGCCATTTCCTTTGTTGGCTGTACAGCGTTGGAAACCATAGTATGACTTTACAGATATCAGCAATGCCTTCCATTTATTACCGTTGTCTGGGGAAAAGTTTGAACATATAGAAATCTTGAGTGTTCTCCTTTAGTTAGCAAGACGTCAGACTTTGATAACAGGGAACAGAAGTTAAAAGTTTAGATTTAAAATTAAAAATGGAGAGGGGAAGTCCTCAAAAAGCTTCAAGTATACAGCTGGTGGGAGGAACAGAAGACACCTGGCTGGTTGCAACTATCTGCAGAAGGTCTTGTTATCTTTCACGGATGAGCACGACTTCCACAAGATTCTCTAATTCTGTCAAACATAAAAATAAAAATATTTGTCATGGCAAGTTTCTTGTAACTTATGCAAGTGACAATACAGACTTTCCTTGGAAAACTATGCATCTTAGATTTCTTGTATATAATCTTATTTTCTTTAACATCAAAGGAATCTCTTTCACTGTGACAACAAATGAAATTAGAAGGAACTAGGGAAAGAGCCTTTGATCATTCCATATTTGGTGAGAATTTAGATGCAAAAAATTAAGAGAGGTGAGATATTTACCGAGATTTTGTCCACAGAATATAAGGTCTATATAAATTCAGGATTTTCTCTTAAGCAAAAGCTAGTGGGCCTAGTGTTCATTAACCATATTTGATTTATTTGATTTATAAAGAATGATCTAAAAAAAGAGACGGTGCTACTTTCCTATGTGATCTTGGCAGCTGCTTTCAGTCATTTAGTAACCCAACCATCAACTCCCAGAAATATCAACATATACAATTTTAAAAAGGAAGATCTAATATAAACAATAATCTTTGATGGAATATAGTTACCCTGGAGGTATTTAAGGTAAGATCAATACAGGCAATTAACTATAGAAGACATTCCATTATATAATTGCACACTAAATTCTTATTCCTCCATTGCTAATTGTAGCATTTACAAGTGCAACATTTGATCCAATACCTCAACAGCAGCATTTTCAATTGTGGGCATTCTGTTTATGTGAAGAGAATAGTTTGACAAAAGACTTAGAATTAATGAGTGAAGAAAAGTCCTCCTGGGGACATTTGATAAATAGAAAAAAATCAGTTTAGAGCATTAGAAATGGGATATCTGGTTACATATAAGGGGATAAGCTTTGTTTTTTATGGATATTCCTGGTTATTCTCTAACTGACTGCAATCTAATTTAGTTCACAGCTATAGATTTCAGCTGGTTATTCAGCTTATATCACTGGTTGGTAAGAATGAGTATTTTGATTTAATACCTGGAGGACCTACGCTCTTTGCTCACACAGTCATCATGAGAGGTAGTATCACCGTTTCCCATCATGCTGCATGTTCTTCGCTTTTTTCTTCGATGCACCATTCCTTCGGTTTCAGAGCTAGAATCGCACTAAACAAGAAATAAGTAGTGGAATTTCAAAACTGCAATTTCTATAAGGCTTCATCGGAAAAAGAAGCAATGACATTTCAGTTCTAGTACAACTAGTCCTCACTTTAACAGTCCATAATTGGGATAAGCAACTGTCATTAAATGAAGTGTCATGTGACTGTTCCACTTAGTAATGGCAGTTTTGGCAATCCCAGATGCTGTTATCCAATGAATCCCATAGTCATTAAGTGAGGACTCACCAGATCCAAACCATTCTTGGAAAAAGGTTAGGGATGGCCTCCACTTAAACTCCCCCCATCCACCTATCTCCCCTCTCATCTCTGTCTATTTGGCTGCCCATCCACCCTACTGTCACTAGCCCCACCTGGCCACACTGCACACCGCTACTCTACATGAACAGAGGTTCTGGCAAAGGCTCTGGAGCAAAAGAAGGCCCTGACTGGTATAGCAGTGGCACATGGTGCGGTGGTGAGCAGAGCCAGGTGGTGGTAGTTAAGTTGGCAGGCAGCCAAAAGACAGTCGTGGTTGGCATTGCAATGGCCAGAATTTTAAGGACCAATTGTTTCTTTGTTCAGCACCACTGTAACTTTGAGGGTTGCTGAACAAATGGATGTTAAGCAAGGACTATTTGTATGTTCTACCCCATCCAGAAACAAAACAGGGATGGTAGAAAATCCTTCATGTATAATCAGTAGCGTTCTCTTGTTAGGGTTTAGTTTGTGCCTGTTCTCTTCCATCCAAAATCACACAATCTTCAGGCTATGGCAGGACTTCAACAGAGTCTCTGACCTGGAGTTACAATATTCAGTTAAGTATCATCATCATACTGATAATTCTGGACTCCAAATCATTGGATGATTTCACCCAGCAACTTCATGCAGATGTTAAATAACAGGAGAAAAATTACCTGAGTGGCACTCCACAAGAGAGCAACCACAGTGCTATTCTCTCCTTTGCAACTACCATCAATTGCAACTACAAAGGAAGCAGCAGAACTGCAAAACAATGCCTCCAATCCCCACACTCCATCTACAAGAACACCACGGACAATTAAACTGAAGGCTGTTAAAAGATCCAAAAGGACCAGAACAAGCAAACTATCCATGTGCAGGTACTGATGTAATTCATCAACAGAGCAACCAATGCCAACTCTACCCATTGCCAGGGTGTGAACCCTGAAACCAAGTCCATTTATTCTTCAGTACTCAGTAGTTGATCCCAAACACCTTTGGGATCAACTGTCTCAATACCTTTTGCCACAAAAAGAAGGTTGGAGATTAGAGATAATTATCTAAGACCACTAGATCCAGAGAAGGTCCCCTAAGGAGGAGATGACTAATGCCTCCTTAAAGGCTGCTGGCATCAAAGCTCCTGCAAAGAGGTGTTCACAATTTCCCAGGTCTACAGAATTAACCATTATCAGTATGATGATGATACTTAACTGAATATTGTAACTCCAGGGCAGAGACTCTGTTGAATTCCTGCCATAGCCTGAAGGTTGTGTGATTTTGGATGGAAGAGAACAGGCACCAACTAAACCCTAGCAAGAGAAAGCTACTGATTATACATGAAGGATTTTCTACCATCCCTGTTTTGTTTCTGGATGGGGTAGAACATACAAATAGTCCTTGCTTAACATCCATTTGTTCAGCAACCCTCAAAGTTACAGTGGTGCTGAACAAAGAAACCGACTACACAAAGAGCCAGGATAAGCAAGAATTCAGTTCACAATGGTTCAGGACATTATAGAGAGAATTCTATTCACTTTGTTGGAAGTAATAGGATGAAAAGAAACCCAGACAACTTGCCAAGATAGTCCAGATTAGAGGGAATTTGAGGCAACTATGCTGCAAAGTGCAAGCAACCTAGACACAATAAACAGCAGAATGGCCTTTACCTAAAAGGGAGGTGGACATCTGGAAAGGGGTTGTTGAATGTAAACAGCAATGCAGTAAGAAAGAAGACAGTATCAACTCGTAAATCATTCCTATGCCTGTTTCTGAGTTGCCATAAGGAGGAGGGAGGGAAAGGCCTGAGGGAGCAGTGTGGCAGATGAAGGCCAGAAGCACACTCCACACTTATCTTGTGGAGATTGTAGCCTAGGCTACTGGAACTTCTGCCCAAGAAAATCCTTTACTGGAGAGTGTGATTGATGACACCCAGCCCGTGAACGTTTCCTTGGAGAATCTGATGTATGATACACCCAAGGGGATGAGGGGAAACAGGGTCATAGGTGATAGTAAATTTTGTGTCTCAGAGTTGGCTTCATACAGGTTGATGCTGGACATGTTGCTCCTAATACATCTTTTGGATTCTTTTGAAGCTTGGCTCCAGGATCATGATTTAATTAGGGCAATCTCCCGGAATCCTGACAGCAAGCCAATTATATTATGCCTGTCCATAACCAAGTTGTAGATGTCTTCTTATAGAAGAGCTGGCCTTAACCGTACCAATTTAAAACCAGCTGCCTCAATTAAGCCCCCAAGTAGAAGCAGCCAAAATGAAAGAAAGGCTCACCAACATACTGTAAGCCTCTCTTTTCCCAACTTTAATTATAATACACAATCACTCTTTTGTGGTCTGTCAATGGTTTACTATAGGGGGGATGAAACACATCACTTGGAGGGGGTCATAACAGAAGTATGAATACCATTCAGTTTGTCTCCCAAATGTTTCTTCTGAATATGCTAATTGGCGGTACCATTGGCAGAAGCAGAGTTTGCAACATCATTTGAAATGGACAACATAGATCTTTCAAGGTACTGTCTTCCAGTACCACACAGGACGGGAAGATCCTTCTCAGGATTTTCTTAGATTCAATTAATAATGTCATTGATTTTGGTTGAGAACCTCTCAACCAAAACCTCTGTCCTCTCTTATGGACAGTTTTGATTTTTGTTGTTTTTATTTACAGCTATAGCTTGGGTTAGGCAGCAGGTGTCATTTAGTTCTCATGTAGGTGTTATCTGCAGCAGCCCAGCCCTTACCTCTGAATCAGAATCTGAAGAACTGGAGCTGGAAGAACTAGATGAATCACTAGAACTGTCTGAAGCAATGCCCGTTGATTCTTGTAAGTCAACAGAATCAGCTAGTACAGCTAGTTCAGGATGTTCCTGCTTGAGGACCCTTGGGGTGTATAAATAAAAAGGATAAAAGCATTATGTTTTAAAGAGATGAAAGAATACAACATATCTTACTCTTTCTCCATGGGCCACTCAGAACATTTTTACAACATAACAAAATATAAGTAAAATATGCCCTGCTCTTCTCTTCAAGCAATAAATTAAAAAGTAGTGACTTAGTAAAAGCTAATAAACTGGGGCATAAAATCTTTGTTATCAAAGAAAAGAAGAAACAGCTGTCTCAAAAATGTTTGCTTTACCAGATCATCATCCATCTCAGGGCAGTTTTGCTTGAGACTTTCCCAAGTCTTCTTCCCAGAGATCTGCCCAGTTGGATGGCAGGTTACTCTGCTCTCTCAAAATTCAGCTTTTACTGTCCATTTTTATTGATTTAGGAAGCAAAATATTTCACTGGTGAAATCAGCTAGGTTTTTTTTTTCATATCATCCTCATTTCAGGTCATTTTTAAAGGGTTTTCCTACGTGTTTAACTGGCATTAAGCCCACCCATACCCACCCAGGAATTGGCATTTGCACACAACATATAGAATATCAAACTACTACAGCTATAAAATATGTATCTCAGGTAGCTAAGTGAAATCAGTAGTGGGATGTACAAATTCTCTGTTCTTAAAACGAGACCCAAATTAATCCAACAGCAAAATAGGCTATTTATTCTTAAAAGTATGAAACTGCTTACCAAAAATATAACAAGAGAGGGCTATTGCCTGCATGGACTTATTGGATCTGTTGGTTTCCCAAAGACCAGGTGACAAATTGTTATGGGACTATAATACCTAAACCTTTGGTTTGATCCAGCAATGCTTGGTAGATACAAAAAAATATTCCTCTGCGAAAGTTTAGAAATCCTGGAGCTGGGATGCATTTATATTCACAGTAAAGTTAGGAAGCTTCACCTTTAATTTTATTGATTTAACTAAAACATTAAAATAACTTTAATCAGTAATCACTTTAATATTACTTTTGTGCTTAATAATTGAGTGATCAAACAGTCTCAGCCTTAAAACTATAACTTTTAAATATATAGTTGAGTCACCTTAATGAATCTTGAAATCCAGAAGCCTAATTCTTCTTCTGGACTCCATGGACCATGTTGCTATTACAAGCCAGACTGTCCAGAAAGTCTTTCCAAAATGCAAAAAACTTAATTAGATTTACATTTCACATATTACATTAAGCATTATTCCAGGTGTCTGTATTGCTCTAGGAAGCAACAACTGGCTTATCCAACCAGCACCTGGGAAATCATTGAAGTAACATTGATGTCTCTCACCTGTACCATTTTCTGGATAACTTTGGTCTTCCTCTTACTGTCTTGTGCCACACCACAGGGAAGTTTGTACAGCTGGCAAAATTCTGAGTGACAGCAATAGTCGTGTCAAGATTGAGAACAACATGCCACCAGCCACCTACAAATGCAACACTGTAGAAGCTTATGATCATCAACAGAAGAAAATATGTAAATCATTGTTTTAACTGTAACTGTGCAATCAATAAATAGCTTGTTTGCTTTACATGTTTTCTTTGTAATACATCCCAAAGGTCTGATTATCAATAGCAACTAATTGTTTCTTAAATTTCCAATACAAGTTCACAAATTTTCCATATATTGTAGAGAATGTAGAATTGGGCAGAGAATGGAGGGGGGGGGAGTCTTTTTTGTGTGCAAAAGCTGTCAAATTTGTGCAAAACTAATAGACCCAGGCTGAAATTATCTGCATAGAAAGGGGACTATATGATACAACTTTTTCCACCTGTGCTTATCAGGTGACTGAATTCTCTAGACAGTGGGACTTGGGAATTGAGACTAGGGAATATATATAAATATAGGTTGAGTCCCCCAGTCCCCTTAAGGATTTTAGCTCAGGAAGCAGGTCATAGAAAAGAAACAGCAGACAAGAACAAATGGTTGAAATATCAGAAATTATTGGAAAATCAAGGGGAGTGAAAGAAGATTATGATGTAAATTTAGAGAGAGAGAGAAGTTAAAATATAGTTGTGCTTGTAACTACAGTGAAGACTATAGGAAGCCACTTTGTCTCTTTGATTTTTCTTTGTCTCCTTATTTCTTATTCTTATTAATTCTTAATAATTATTTCTTATTATTATATTAGTTTGCATAATTTTAAAAAGTTTCAATAAAAATTACATACAAATTACTTTTCTAAACAGTAGATTAAAATATTTATAAGGTATATCACACTTTAGTCTGATGAAATTGGTTACAATCACATATCACTAAATTTTCCAGCTTTTAAGTATCTCTAACAGATAATGCCAGTGAAAAATTTGGTGCTGGAATAGTCTGAGTTTAAATAAAGGTGGAATATTTCTGAGCAGGCAACATAATTTCATTTTTAATATGAGCCAGTGTGTTCACAGTAAAAAAAAGACAATAAAAGTTATTTTATTAAAGCACTATTAAAATATAAATAATAAGGTAAGCAAGCAGCTAACATAGAACCTGATTGAAATGCAGTTTCTTGTGAAATGAAAATATCATGCATCACTCTAGACATTATTAAACCACGACAAATCATTCAATTTTAAGATGAAAATGTGTGCCTGCCCAAAATCGCTCAATGAACTGTCCCGGGTAAGAGTGGATTTGAGCCCGAGTCTCCCCGGTATCATACCAACATCATGATGATTACAGCATGTTTTAGTAAGTAAATTTATTTAATCAGATTGACCATAGGAACTTTATTTCCATATCATGAAACTCTGAAACGACAAGGAAATTATTTCTCCCAACTATGTAAAAGACATCCTAAAATGAACATCTACTTTGTACATGTAGCTGTATTGATGCATTGAAGTAACTGATTTTAAGAAGTTATTTGAAAACGATCACCCTGTCAATCCTCTGATTGCACTAATTAAGGTGTCTGTCACTCAGAAGACATTATTCATGGATTCATTCACCATAACTTCTATAACATTCTCATTGTTTAGAGCATGGGTGTCAAACTCACAGCCCAGATGCATCACACGCACCCCTGCTTTAGCAAAGGGGAAACATCACGTGGCAACGTAACGATGCAAGTTTGACACTCCTGGTTTAGAGCATCCCTATTTCAGTTTCTTTTCTGAACAACTCGCTTTATATTAGGTTTCCTTTATGTTCAGTATACTATTGGATATATAAAGAGAAGCCTTTGTAGCTTTTCTAGACTGTTTGATTTTAAGGAATGACAGCTGTGTTCAAAGGCTTAGGGATCTTCATAAAAAGATTATCTATTCTACAGGAGAGGTAGACAATCTTTGATCACTTCTTGTGAATTAAATTAGAGAAGAAATCCTAAGGTTTACAGTAAGCAATGATTAATATATAGCTTGCCTCCTAAGACAATGATGCTCCCAAGCTTATGGTTTTCCAAAGGCTAATGAAATCCTGGGTCTTTTAGAAGGGCTTTGGAGATTAAGTGTACACATTTTTTGTCACCAGACTGATCTCTGCTGCATTATGATACAATATTATATGAGCTTGTTAGAGACATAGTAACAAAATTTATAAAAATGAAAAAAAAATTATAGTCCTCCAGGATACCCCGCCTCAAAAGAGGGGGTCATGCCACACGTTCATAAACCTTCACTTGTCTTCCCCCCCAAAAAAAATATTCGTTTTGTGAGTATTAGGATTTTTATCCTTTTCCCCTCTAAAACATAATTTGGAGCTTTGACATTATCAAAGTGCAATGACAAAAATGAAGGAGGCAGTGAAGCCCCCACCCACCCATCCAAAAGAGGACCCCAGACTGACCATCCCTACTGTAGAATAAAATGGACTTCAACAGAGTTTAACTTATACGCATACCTGGCACAAACACAGTCTCTCCAGGTTTTTGTACTACTTCCAAAGGTTTGAACTCTGAAGGCCAAGTGGGAAGTTGCGTTCGGGGATATATTACTCTGAACCAAGTGATGGCTTCATCTTGCTGATTGCCTCCTTCTTCACGAGTCACTTTGATCAGTTCTCTGGGAGTGCTGGTAGGGAAGAGACACCAGCGCTTATGTCCATGGACTAAGGCATTCCACGCACTGGTTCCCAGAGGGTCAATGTGAATACCTGTTCCTGAACGAGGTGGGCCCATCACAAACCACCTGCATTATTAGAAAATTTTAATTATTTTTCTGAAAAGTTTTCAGGAAGATTATTTCCATATTTCCGAATAAAAAATAGAAATCTAACTTTGTAATCCCCTTCATAATGGAAAATAAAATATCGTTTATTTTCAAACATTTTATTAGGTTATAAAATATTATAAAATGCAAAACACAAAAGTAAATAAAAGAGCAGTGAAAGGGGAAGAGAGAAAAGGTAGGGAAAAGAAAAAGCATTGATTTTTGATTCTCTGTTGTAGAATAGGGCATTGACATCAAATCACAGCTTTTTGTTTTTCCATAATAACAAGGTCATTTCTGTAAAGATTTATCAATCTAATCTGTAAAACCCAAAATTATATTCTTTTCCACATCAACCACATTTCAAGACAGCTACACAGGTTTGGGCAGTTTATTTTACAAAATGAATCCTGACCATGTGAGGAATGATTTTCAGAATGTCCCATGAACGTTCTACTCTCTGAAGAAAAGATGTCAAAATCTGACAATTTTTAATGTAGGAGAATAAAAAAGAAAATGCAAAGCATCATTACTAAAAAGAACAATGTCAAGAATGGGCAGAAAATATTATTCTACATTCTTTTTTAACATTTCAACAATCTAACACAATCATCCAAGAGTATGCCCTAGCAGTTACTTCAAAGTTAAAGATGAATAAAATGTTTTATTTTCCCAATGATACTAGAACCCAACTATGGACATTGTTGTTAAAACAATTTAATCTAGAACTGCACAATAGATACATTTCAATAGTAGAGCAATCATTATCAATCCAGTGCTAGTCATGTGTTGACTGCATTTTCCAGAATCTGTACTCAGTATTGCCTTCTGATCCACTCAGAGAGTGCTAAGACCAACATTGGTATGAAAAGTGGAAAAAAACACTGACTGCACTAGTTCACTTTTCTAAAAGCCCTTAAGATCTTTTTAAAACGTAACTTTGTGGGCTTTAAGTGACTTATGAGTTATAACTTAAGTGTAGCTGATATTTGGAAAGCCATCCTGTTTTACTGTTTACATCAAAAAGTCTTAAACAACCATCTTAGTTTTAGTGTGCCTGGACTGAATGCACAGGACAAATGAGACCAATGGAAATTCACTGGACTATAAGCCAAACTTTTGGTGCTTGAAGTTAGCTAGTTTATACCTGTAAGGTGGCCTTCTCTTCTCTCCTGCATATTTGAACAGATCGTCAGTGAAGAATTTGGGTACCCTATAGTCTTCCAAAAGTTTTTTGCGCTTTGGATGTTCCCCATAACTGCTGTCAAATATATAGAGAGGACTATCATCTCGTGTAGTCTCCATGTATTCAATGTAATATTTCATCTTCATTTTCACAGAATAACCGTCATTGTCCTCCCCACACTTGAATTTCTGGTTCCTGTATTTGCGCTTCAGGCGTTCCAGAGTCCACTTCTCTTGAGCTGACCATCCTGCCTCAGCATTTAACAGGACAACAGGCTTATAAGGTTTCTCATATCTTTCAATGAATTCTTCCACTGACAAATGGAGGGCATCTGCTCTTTCTACATTATCCTACAAGAATGGAAGAAGAACTACCTTTAAAACAAAGTAACAAAGAATGTGATACAGTAGAACACTAATAATACTATTAGCCCCACAGAATGAGACCCACAAAGTCAAGAAAAATGCTTTAAAATTATGTTAAACTCTTGTTTTCCGTATAAATTGCATAAATTTATCCGGGTACTGCTAGATGAAGTGGATTTTATTTTTTAATTTTGAAATAGAAACATTCGTAAAAAAATCTACTTTTTATAATTCACCTTTTCTTCACGTTCTATATTTTGTCTAAACTAATCTCTACCTACATATATTCTTGTATGAAATCTGCTTTACATAAATATGTCTTCTCAGCATATCATAAACATCTTAAAATAATTACTTTATTTTATTGTAAGATTTCTTTTCCCTCCTTTTATTATCCCCATTCATATCTATAATTCTGGCGATTAAAAAGTTGAAAAATACACAAGTGTAGGTTCTCTGACAAACATCAATTCTAGTTCAGAAAGTTTGCCCAGCAATCTAAGTCCCACTGACTTCAACTAGGCATCCTCTACACACCATCAAAATCAGAATAGAGCTGGAAGAGACCTTGGAGGTCTTCTAGAGCAGGAAACCCTATATCATTTCAGACTGGTGGCTGTCTTAAAAACCTCCAGTAATGAGCTACACACAACTTCTGAAGGCAAAGCTGTTCAAATGATTAATTGTCCTCCGTTAGGAAGTTTCTCCTTAATCAAACTCCTCCTTGATCAGTTTCTCATCCACTGTTTCTTGTCTTGCCTTCTGGTGCTTTGGAAAATAAATGGACCCCCTCCTCTTTGTGGCCACATAACTTACTCCCAGTTCCTTTTCCACCACTTTAATGGAAGCCCAAACCATGCAAAACACAACCCGCGAGAAGGGTTTTAGCCAACGTGCTAAGCACCCTCCTCACTTTTTGAGATGTTATCTTGTCCCAAACTCTTCATCTCCGCGACCCCTTCGTTGAACCTTCGGATTGTTTATCGACCGCCAAACATTCCATATTAAAAAGCAACTTAATCATTGCTACTTTAACTAAGAATAATAACCATGGCAATAATAAAGGATAATAGCCCCATCGATCTTTCGGGGTGCACCCTGAATCCCAGAGCCGACACAATCCCCACAGAGACTGGGGGTGGGTTAAGCCCCTCACCTCTCTCGGGGTCCAACCTACCAAGAGGGGTTGATGTCGGATCAGCCGAAGAAAGAGACAGGTCTCTACTTAACCCGCCTTGAGGTCCGGAGAAAGGGGTGACAAAAGCTGACCGAGCAAGCCGAGGCACCCCTCTCACGATGTTCCCCCCACACCCCCGGGAAGGGATTTGACGCCCCCGCCCCCGGCCCGATAAAGAGAGCCTGTCGGGCGGCGGCTTCCGACTGCCGCCCTTTCCCCGCCGCAGCCTCCTTCTTTAGACTGCCCGCCCGCTCACCTTGCAGCCCGCCGGGTTCAGCGGGAAGCTCTCGCAGTAGTTGTGCCGAGTCCAATCGAGGGAGTCCTTGAGCTCGGGACGCGCGCTCCGCTTCGCTTCACGGATGCGCTTCTTGCTTTTGTGGTTCATGCTCCCCACGCGGCTCTGCCTTCCCCGCCCGACTCTTCCGGCTACGGATTCCGAGACGGCACCCTCCCGAACAACAGCGCCACGCCGCTCCCAGAAATTTCACCACCGCGCCGACTCAGCTACCAACTCGCGGCCTAGACGCCGCCCGCCTCGCCTGCCTTCAACTTCCGCTTCCTCCCATTGGTTGGCGCCGCCGGGGTTGGGGTGGGGTCTCGCGGACGGGACAAGCTCTCATTGGGTCTTTCGAGCAGCGGAAATAGAGGCGGGCGGCGCCAGAGTGGAGGAGGAACCGCTTCGGCGCCATCTTGGGGCGTCACGCCCCACCGAGAGGCGTCGCTGTTGCGCAGCGCGAAGGGCGGAGGAGGGGGTCGCGCGCTCTTGGCAAGGCACGGACTTAGGCGGCGCTGATATGCGAGGTGGGTGGGAAGGTGCTTTATAGTCCAGGAAGGCCGGTTGAAGAGCGGGGAAATAAATGCTGAAGCGAGGATCGGATTGTTGCAGTGGCTGCACTTGGGTGGAAGCTGCCCATTGGGCACGACTCTTTCAGGCAATGAGATTTCCGTTCACTTTCCTTAGGAACCTGGATGGGTTCGACCCGAAGCATATTTAACCTAATATTAAATCCTCTGTTCCGCGGGGTATATAATCCCAAACTCGCGTGCGTAAACAGCAGCTTGATTGGCATATTGGATTTTTTATTTCGGATTAGCAGCCCACGCTGAAGGACACGGTGGTTTTAAACTGCACAGGGGAATCATTCATTATACAACTAGGGAGGCGCAATTTGATTCTAGATATCGGCGCAGAGTTTTTTTTTAAACTGAGGTTTATTGGTCCAACGGGACTTCGATCCTTAAAAGACTGTATGACACTCACACTAGGTGCAGTTACTCCACAAGTGGCCGCTCTATAGAGTCCCAAATCCTTCCGGGAAAGCTCGAGTGATACCAGGCGAAATTAAGCTCTATTAGCATTTCTCCATAGGATAGAATTAGCCTGCAAGAATAAACCGCCTGTCTTCAGTGGGAGAGAAGTAAAAACAGCCTGCCGACTCAAGAGAAAAAAAAATGGGAAAGGGAGGTAACTGTTAAATGCCATTCTTGGTGGGTTTTTCATAATTTTCCCCCTTCGTAGAAATGGGCATGATTGGCTGCCTCGTCCGGAGACGTGCTGGAAGAGCCTGACTGCGGATGGCCAATCGGGCCTTATTGATCCTTTCGCAAAAGCCGGCATGTGCGAGGTAGCGTCCAATATGACTGTGAAGGAATACCGGTTTGGAAAAGATCAGGAAAAGGGAGACGGGGATGACCGGCCTAGGGAGTTGGTGGTGCTGATTCCCGAGGTATTGTTATGATTATGGTTTATCACGCAGTCGGCCAATATGCTCACACTGGATTTGGCATGATCCACCTATCAGAGTTCTTATTATCTGCTAAATGAGAATCAAGAGGTTTTAACTTCAGGACCTTGGAAAATAATCTAACACCTTTGCATTTCACATAAATTGCTCTTGCTTAATTTTGAAATACCTTTTTTTCTAGGTACAGATGCTGTACTGAAAATTGGTTTAAGATAGTTTGATAGGCATTGTTTCTTTTGGTTTTCATCCCACAATTTTTCTAAAGTGGGTCCATGTTCCAGTGGGGTTTTGGTTTTTCAAATTAGTTTGATGAAGAGCTTAAATTAAAACTTAAATGGCAAATTTAAAATGTCAGTTAAGGATTATTTGTATAAAAACAAATCTAACAGAAACAGTTAATATGACACCCTATTCCAGGAGTCTCCAACCTTGACAACTTTTAAGACTTTTGACCTCTACTCCCAGAATTCCTCTGCTAGCTTTGTTGTCTGAGGAAGTCTGGGAGTTGAAATCTACAAGTCTTAAAGATGTCAAGGTTGGAAACCACTGCTCTATACAGTATGTTTCTTCAATGCAAAGCTTTTAGAATGATCTTGATAGCCTTTATTTATGAATTACTGAAGTAAGGATCAACAAATCAATGAATGAAGAATGTTTTTAGTAATGAATACAACACTTTCTTAGATTTAAGAATTTAAAAATTCTTAATGCTCAAATATATTTTTGTATATACAAGCATGTCATATTTCAGTAATATGCCTAATTGGGTTAAAACTTCACATTTTGACATGATATTTTTAATGATAGGAAATATGTGCCAGTTTGTGCACAGGAAACAATGCATCTATGTTGCTATCTTAAATGCTTTATAATTTAACTTCCTCACTTTATAGATTAATCCCTGAATATAACAGATGTTTCTGTAATCATTTTTTTCTTTTGAAATTAGCTGTAAGTACTGAGAGAAGAAGGCTTATCTCAATACATTTAAACTCATTATGTTGAAGCTGTAATGTCAGTTCCACAATTTGTATTAAAACAGGCATTCCTGTAACTACATGTTATATACTCCCTAAACTAAATCAAATCTATCATAGTCATATTATGACATATTATTTCTATTCATAGAACAAATGTTAACATTTGGGTTTTTTTTAGACTTTTAGACCTTTTTTTTTTTAGACCTTCATGTATAATCAGTAGCTTTCTCTTGCTAGGGTTTAGTTTGTGCCTGTTCTCTTCCATCCAAAATCACACAATCTTCAGGCTATGGCAGGACTTCAACAGAGTCTCTGACCTGGAGTTACAATATTCAGTTAAGTATCATCATCGTACTGATAATTCTGGACTCCAAATCATTGGATGATTTCACCCAGCAGCTTCATGCAGATGTTAAATAACAGGAGAAAAATTACCTGAGTGGCACTCCACAAGAGAGCAACCACAGTGCTATTCTCTTCTTTGCAACTACCATCAATTTCTTTGTAAATTGTTAGGCAATAAACACTCAAAAACAGTAACTTTGGTGTCCTTTCTGGGTGAACTTGTAACCATGCACTAAGATTTGAAGGAGGAGTTACAACCATCTTCATTTTTTTAGTAGGCTCACATGCTGGATTTGATTTGATTTCATTGAACTTAACATATGTAGTTGCATAGTCACAATTGATCCTAGATTGATTACAAAATGCATGTGTTGTAATGAATAATTATTTCTATACCTAGAAGAAAATATACAGCATTACATTCATTATTCCAAATATATTATTAGCTTTCTCCTTGACCTGTGATTTGTATGCAGTTCTAGCACATTGTAGAACAGTGTTAATAGAAGTATTTTACAAACTACTTAAAGACCAAGAAAACAGGAAAAAGTTATATCCAATTTAAATATCTTTAAAATTCTTTTAATGCTATCTTATTTTGCAATACAAACTTTTGTTTTAGGTTCTTGATCCTCGGTATGGTATGTATGTTTGGCCTTGCGCTGTGGTTTTGGCCCAGTATATCTGGTTTCATAGAAGACTTCTCTTTGGCAAAAGAATACTAGAGGTAATGTCACATTATTTTCATTCAGATATCATGGAATTAGAGTGTTAAAGAAAAAAAGTTGGATTAGTTTGGGATGAATATTGTACATAAACCCACAATCTTTTTGGGGGAGGGAGCAGAGAGATAAAGATCCTAAATTAGATAAAATGTGAATGGTGTAATAAAAATTCTATGTAATAATTATTCATCAATACATTTGTATTTGTATTTACGCCAAAATATATAATGCAAACAATTTACTACTGGTAATCCTTGTTTAGCAACCACAAATGGGATTGCCAACATGGTCAATAAGCAAAGCAGTCACTAAGTGAAACTGCACTTCTGCTTTCCTTTGTTTGCAGATCCTGAACTGAAGAACAGATCAAAGTTATTATTGCTGTTGTAACTGAATTATTACTGTATGAGATAGTCACTAAATGAGAACTACCAGCAGTTGCACTGGGAAATTGCATCAAATCTGTTATGAATTTGAACACTATTATATAGGCAAGCCAAAATTCTGTAGTAAGATAATTTTTGTGTGTTAGAAATATTCAAGAAATCTCATAGAATGTATTTTAGTCATTCATGGGTCTACATATATAGGAAGTCAATTTACACAACTGGATCAAAATTTCAGTCATTAAGCAAAGTGGTCATTGATAGTCATTGACTGACTGAACCTGATTTTACAACCATTTTTACAGCCATTGTTAAGCAAATCACCATGGTTGTTAAGTGACATAGGGTCATTAAGCAAATATGGCTTCCTCCAATGATTTTGCTTGTTAGATCAAACATGTCACAACAGGACATTGCAACTGTCATGATCTTGTGACCAACAAGATGCTGCATCCTTCATAAATGCTAGCTAGTTGCTAACAGCCCCAAATGCTTGACTGTAGGTTGGACCAGTCACTTGTTTCAACTCCTTCCCTTGGAAGGGTAATGTATGCCAAAACTAGACTCGGGGTCAACTAGACCCTTGTGCCATCACTCTTTACTCTCCCTTTTATTGGTATTATTATTCTGTAACTTTGCATGTAGAGTGCTTCTATATCTGAGACAAATTTCTTGAGTGTCTAATCACTTGGCCAAATGAAGTATGCCATTCAATTAAACTCAACCATTGTAACTCCAAGTTAAACAAATGGCTATTTGTGTGTATTGCTGTAGGAGAAACAATAGTATCCCATACATATACACAAGCATACGTACCGGTATATAAGTATACAAAACTTCTGTTTTAAAATAAGATCATACTTCATTATGCCTGTGTTCTATGTTTGGAATTAGCTGTTTTTAAGCAACTTCTTCAATCTACAATATTAATTGGAACAAATTACTTTCCCATGCAATTAAGGTATGGGAATCCATTTCTGTTGTCCAGCTATCACTTTCTATGGTGGCAGGTATAAAGTTCAAAAGAACATGGGGATCTGAAAATATTAAAGTGTGCCTCAAATTTGTAATCTATCATATTTTAGAAGAGACTGTTGATTAGTTATATATGAAATTTGGAGTGTCCATCTCAACCATGATTTGCTTAATCCACCACTTAATCAATTTTGACATTCCTCTCTACTCGGATACCATTCATGCAGATCCTAAATGGCTGGGATAGATTAATCTAGGTATCAAATATAAAGTTGCATTTTCTAAGTTTTTCTTTTGAATAAAGCAATTTGACCCCTCTTATTATTCATCAGCAGGGTATTATTTCTGGTTGTCCTTTACATTTTTTTTAAAGAATCCAAACCTTTGATAAAAAATGTCAAACTTGGTAGTCATTAGTCAATTCTTAATAAATGGAAGGTGGGTGGGGAATCAATTTGTATACATTCTATGAATGTTTTTTATAATTGCTGTCACAAATTAGGTTTTATTCTGTTCAGATTGGAGCAGGTGTGAGCCTACCTGGAATAGTGGCAGCAAAATGTGGAGCAGAAGTAATATTATCAGATAATGCAGATTTCTCAGAGTGTTTGGACAACTGCCGAAGAAGCTGCCAGATGAATAATCTTTCTGGGATATGTGTCATAGGACTTACCTGGGGTCATGTATCACCCTGTATGTTGAGCTTAGCCCCAGTTGACTTTATTTTGGGAGCGGATGTACTTTTTGAACCAGAAGGCAAGTGGTCTCTCTTAATATTCATTTTTAGAACTACTCTTTAAGTATGTGAATGGCAATGATTTTTTTGTTTGTTTGTAAACTCAAGACTTTGTAAGTCCCACTTATACCAACTACTAAACTAATGGGGAAACAAATCACTCAATTTTCTAAAAGGATGAAAGGATTTTTATTACAAATCTTTATGCTCAGTTATAACTTCAATTACTTTTTTATTCAAGGATTCACAGTATAAATTGTGTCCCGTTACTACTGGTAAAATTTGACAAATGGGATAACTTGCAATTCAAATTTTAGGAAGTCAATTCTTATTTACTCTGCTTTAGTTATATAGAGTACACATACTTTCCTCCACTTATTCCGTAATAGTTCATCTAGCTTCAATATCCCAATGAGCCAAAGATGGACCTTCAGTAAATTATTTCAAATACTTTAATCCAGCACTTTTACCATGACACCAAGCTAGTTTCTAAAGCCATACAATAATGATGGAAAATGCAATTTTATCATCTCCGGCTATACTGGAGTTAAGATGGTAAATGTAAATAAATATTTGGCAGACATCATGGATTATTTTGATCAAGTTACCAGACTGATTTTTTTAAAAAGTGCTTGTTCATGATGGTACTTTTTGGGTCTGTTATTTTAGTTAGAATGTAAATGCTTTGTAATTTAAAAAAACTTGCCCCAAATTTTTAATGTTTTCAAACTGACATGCATTTGAAAATCCTTTTTGAACTTAGTGTTAGTTCAGGGTAATAAACAAGTGTTACAGGGTTGATAAGGAAGAGTAACTGGAAAGTTGACTAAAATTAAAAATGCTGTTAAGTCAGAAATCAAAGGACTGAAGAAATGTAAAAGCAATATATAATTTAACTATTTCTATTCATAGAACAAATGTTAACATTTGGGTTTTTTTTAGACTTTGAAGATGTTGTAAGTACAGTACACTATTTAATGGAAAGGAATACTCATGCCCAATTTTGGACTACTTACCAAGTCAGAAGGTATATAGTTACTCTCATTCTCCCATTGATTTCATATTTATATACTTTGGCACTTAAAAGCAGCTCATTCGAAAGCTTATCAAGTTGACCACTATTAATTTTTAAGAATTTTCAGTTTCTAAGTGTTATTGGCCATCCTACGTTGTCCCAAAGCTTTTAATATTTGCTTTTCCCCCTCCAGTGCCAACTGGTCTATTGAAGGATTACTATATAAATGGGAGTTGGAAAGCACACACGTGCCATTGCAGTCATTTGAAGCCACCAAGGAACAACTTGCAGGATCTTCTCTTCCAGGGATGCACACGATTCAAATGATGGTTATCAGTAGAAAAAAAAATAAAGGACTGAAAACTTAAGAAACATTCCTAATGGATTTTAATGAAAATGCATCAATTGCTTATCTGAGTTCCATATCACCTGACCACCATTGCATACAAATCAGTTTATTCTCAGCATTTTTAAAAAGTAATTTTATTCATTGTTCATGCCGATACTAATTCTGCTGCATGTTTCCTTTGAATTAAGAATATATACACATTTCACAGGGATACCAAAAATGTGACGAGCCTACAATGTTTTAAAAACTATCTGTTATGTAGGAGTTAAGTCCCATTAACTAGGACTTATAGGAATGAATTTGCTGGATGAGTTTCCTTAAATTGCAAACTAATATGATCTGTCCTAGTCTAACAGACAAAACTGACTCAAACCATCAGTTTTAAAAAAAAACCTGAACACAAAAAAAGTGTTGCTTTTATTAAACTACAGACACAGTGGTTATAATACAGAATGTTTTTAAGAGATACTCCAAATCAATACTTAAAAAGGAATGAATCAAATGCTTTAACATTACATTTTCATATGCAAGTTCACATATGTAGATGGTCTAATTTACCATTTGGAAAAATAAGGTGTGTATATCACCAGCTAGATGTGCTCACTGTATGCTCCATTATTTTAATGCAAGGCCCGGGTGACTGGAAGTGCAGTTGTCAGGCAATTACAATTAACTGGACAGCCATTTGTTTCTGCACGACAAGGCATCTTTACAGGAGCAATCAGGAGAAAACAGGAAACAGCCAAGCACTCTGCACTGCAACACGCCACCTTAACAGCTAACCAGCATTACTCAACTGCTACACAACTGCGCCTAGTGCACAAAAATACATAAGAGAAGAGATTAGAATTTTGTCTGATAAAAACAAATCTGTCAAATTAATTTGTGAGCTGTAAAAGTTTGTTTGACTTGAAGTATTTGCATATGTGCTTGAATTTTTAAAATTCAAAATTGGGAGAACAAAGGCAAGAATTGAACATCTGGACAGCATAAAGCTTTTCAGCATACTGTAGCTGCATATTTAATATTAAAGTTGAGGCTGCATGTTAATTATCAGTTTAATTTGCAAACAAGTCAGCACTATATGAACAAAAATGAAGTTTTTACCTCAAATATCCAAGCCAATAATGAAATCTGTAGTCGTTCACATCACTAAATTACAAGAAATTTGAATAATAGCAACAAAATGGCACATAAAAAGTAAAAGTCTGCCATTTGAGGCTCAAAAACGTAAAGTAAAAAGTTAGACAAAGTGTTACAAAATAACCTTTTCAACAGCCTGTTGGTTGTGCAGGAGTCTCCAAAGGACTGGCATTTCAGATGATCATTTCTCCTCCAAAGGCATCCTTTATGTAGATTTCTGATCCATTTGCAGTATCTAAATTTGAAAAAGATAATACTTAGGGCATACTTTGTATGCATTCTATTGTTTATGGATACTTTTAAATACCTACTTGTATTGATGTTTTAACATGTTTGCAAGCAAGTACAACATCTCCCTCCCAACTATTGCATTGATACCACCGCAGCAGTCTTGAGTTTTGGAAAATTTGTCCATCTCTGTACTAACCACATGTTGTTTATCAACCACCCCTAATCTAAATCCAACCTTATTAATTATGCCTTTATCCTTATTCAAAACCTTGATGTGTTATTAGTCATTATCCTTAACAGTTCTACTAGGCCCCCTTCATTTGAAAAAAAACAGGACCAAACAATTTGAGGGAGGTTAAAGACACACTATCCATTTTCCCACCCAGCATATTCTTGTAAGCCCACAATTGCACCAAGGACACTGGTTTCCATCAACTTTTGCATTTCACTTCTAAAAGTGTTTGCTGCTCTTGAGAACTGTATCCACAGAACAGATTTTTAACAGGATAGTGTATCTTTAACATTTAAAGACAAACCTGCTCCAATACACGCCCACAGAAACTGGTCCCTGGAGGATCAGCCAAATCAGTTAAAATCTGCAAAACTGGCCAATATTCTTTAAGCAAACAGGAGACCGCAGCTTTAAAGGGGAAAATGCAGATGTTGGATAAGAACAGTAAGAAAATAGTCAATTCAGAAATAGGTTGCGTCTCAAACAATAGATATTAAAAAGCAAGCTATTAATTGCAACAAAACATGAAGATGCCTTTTATTAGCTGTAAATTAAAACACCCTTTTCAGAAATGAACATGCCCCATTTTCTTACACCAGAATGCTTAAGATCCCAGTGCTTACTAATTTCCTACAATAAAGCATGCAAGTTCAGGAGAATACCTGATACTTTACCGTTTTCTTAAGATGACACAGCACCTTCCTCTTCAGGAGATTTAGGAGGGCTCTTAGAACGGGATCTCGATTTCGATTCCCTCTTAGAGATAGGTGGAGGGCTTCTGGATTTGGACCTGGATCTTGATCGGGAACGAGATCTGGACACCGACGAAGACTTGGACTTCGACCTCCTGGCCGATCTGGACTTCGAAGTGGAACGAGAGCGGGATCGCGTGCGGGACCTTGATTTGGAACGGCTGTACCGCGATCTGCTACGAGATCGGGATCGGCTCCTGCTTCGGGATCGGCTGCGACGCCTTCTCCTGGGACTGGGTGGAACAGAGAGACGGGCGGTTGGAAAACATCCAGGAAGTCGAGCACTCGTTTATCTTTCGCTCACTGAGCCAACGGCTGAAGCCGCCCGCCGCCCATTCAGGATCACGTGGTTCTCCCTTTCCCGCCGACCTTCCCCCACTTCCCTCCCCCCACACCATTACGCTAACCTATTACACGGCAGGGCCTTTTTTTCTGCCTCTCCCTTATACCACATATCCCGTTTAAATACTTTTCTAGGAAGAGCCGACTTTTCTTTTGCCCGGCGGGACTTCTTCCCCACAATCTCACCTTCTGCTGCGACGTCCATAACCGCCGCTTCCGTACCGGCGCGGAGGAGGCCCACGTCGGCTGTGGTGCGAATCCGGAGGTCGGCCGTAACGGGCCATCTGGACCCGCAATTCGCGGCCATCGAGCACGGCTCCGTCCATGGCATCCATAGCGTCCTCCGCGTCGCGCTTGTCGTGGAAACGCACAAAAGCGAATCCACGACTCTCCTTGGTGTAGCGATCGCGGGGAATGTAGACATCCCCCACGCGGCCGTACTTCTCGAAGACGCGGCGGAGTGTGTCTGGAGAAGTACGGTATGTCAGGTTGTCCACCTTCAGAGAGGTCATGCCTTCCACGTCTGGCGGCGGTCGCCCGTAACTCATAGTAACGGGCGGAAAAACACGGAAAGAAGCGTACCGGACAAACTATCTCTGAGGATATGGAGTCGGCTGCTGTGTTGGGCTCGCGTTACTACAGCAGGCCGTCGAGTCAACAGCTCAATCGCAAGCCACCATCTCCGACCGCTGCCACGAGCAAGTGAACAAGGTGCCGCCCTTCCTCAAGTATTTAAGCGCCATAAAATGGCCGCCGATGGCCCGGAAGCACTTCTCGATTCTACTCGCCCCCCCTCCGTTGCACCCTAAGCCATTCAATTTTAAATTCGACTTTTGTTGCTCCAAAGGGAAAACACGATATTAAAAGGCACTGATATCCACCCAAAAAGAAAAAGGGAAAGATCAACTCTTCATCGACTGCGAAAGTTCACCAGCCCCTCAGTGTTGAAACCCGGAAGCGATTGTTTACGCTTCTCACGCGGAAGGCTGCAGAGCATTTAATTCCCAATTCCAAATTACAACTCTGAAAAAGGTATAACCGCCTTTGTTCGTTATAATTTAGTCGGCGTGTCGATTGTACAAACCGTTAAGTAATTGGCGTGGTATACGCTTATTAAAAGACAAGAAGCTCAATGTTTAAAATGGCGGCCAAGGCTGCGAGGAAGCTGACTAATAATACACGGGAGCGCGCACGTAACATGCCACAGGCGCGCGAAAGGAAGCAAGCAAAGATAGAAGTGCGAGTCCAAGCGTGGAGGTGCGGCTGGGAGGGACTGGTTAAGGCTGATTTTTTTACTGCGTCTTCGCGCTGAATGAGAGCCTGGGATGGGGGGGAGAGGTTTGCTGTCTTTTCAAGGGAGATATTTGTCTCAATTTGGGGTAGTTAGTTCAGTTTGGGGCAGCGGTTCTGGCTGTTGAACTGTATTAGGCGTAGGAAAACGAAACAATTAACACTAGTAGTAGCACCATGTTAACATTTTCAAAGCCCACTATCAGGCCTGATTATCAGACCACCCTGTAAGGGTCAGGAAAACTTATTTAAAATGGGGGGAAAAGGATATTCTGCTGTACAGTATTTTGCACCTTTACTCCAAGGAGGAGGACTATGCAATGTTTTTTGAGGTATAAAAAGATGGCAAGTTTGTCTCGTTTTCTAGGTATGATACAAAACAGTTTGCCCTTCTAGGTGGTTCCCCCCCAATTGTCCTATTTAAATATCAAGGTGGATTGGATTCCCCCCTCCCCCAAAGACTTGCTGGTATCACTTGCTGTGGGCCGACTTTAACAAGAAATTTGTGCCTCAAAAGTTGAGGCCTGAGCTTTTTATTCTACAGGCTTGATATATGAAATATTTCTTGCCACCTTGATTTCTTTGCTAGCATGGAAGACAATTTCTCCTCTTAATCTCCAATCCTTTGCAACATAAATGGCCTCTTTTATCCCTCTTTCAAACCAATGTCCTGTTTATCCAAAATGTGAATTTTGCTGTCTTAGAAAGAGTGACTTTGTCTTTCAAATGCAGATGGACTGCTGAACCTTGTCCTGATCTCCATCTTATTTGAGAGACAAAGGTTGTTACCAACAGACCACTACAACCACATGGAATTAGCATAGCACACAAGCCAACTAATGTCCTTCAAAACATCCTAAGCAAATCAAAAGATTCAGCAACCCCAGAGGAAAAAACAGGAGTCATCTACAACATATGACTGCAACAACTGCTATGTAGGACAAACAGGCAGAAGAAGACTGGCAGAATGCATCTGTGAATATCAACTGGCAGTCAGAAGACATGAAAACACTTTAATTTCACAATCTATAGACAAACTTAACCATAGTTTTAATTGAAAAAATGTGACCATCCTAGACCAAGCTATGTTCAAAAACACCTGGGAAATTCTAGAAGCCTGGCACTCTGACAATGACACAAAGACATTAACAGACTATGTTAATCAATAGACACAAAGACATTAACAGACTATGCAAAAGAGACAAGAAATCAGTCAAAAAGGGTACAAAAAGACCCAAGCACCTCTCCACCAGCAATTAGCACCCAGATCTGCATATATTAACTCCAAGATTAACAGACCAACAATCAGGTAAGCATTGATGTTACCTAGTTTGGGTAATGAAACATCTGCAAGAAAACAAGCAAGCTCAGAGAGCAGCAAGGATCCCTTAATATATATAC